ATTGTTTATGCAATTATTGTGATTCTGTATTAGTATTGTTATTATAAATAATAAATAAAATATCTTTTTTTTTACAAATGTATAAAACTATGACGGCCTAAGACTTTAAACATTAATTTTTAAGATGAAAAAGTTATATTTTAGCATTTTTAATAAAAGACTGAGAAAAATAAAAACAAATAAGAATTGGAAAGTTTTATTTTTAAATATTTATAAAATATAATAAGAAATAAAATCTCCTGAAAGAAGGACAGTTAAAAAAAAAAAAAAAAAAAAGGAATAATAAAAATTATTTAAATCAAATTTTTACAAACTATACAATACTTGAACAAAAGAAGCATTTTCGTTTGTTCGGTACTTGGGCACGTATAACGTCGTTACACGGTTAGATACTTATTCAAAGTATAATATTCATAATGGTTTTAATTAATAATAATTGGTTCGTTAGTAGCGTCTACAAAATATATATATACTCGTATATGTATGTATGTATATATATATATATATACTTATACATATACTCGTATAAGTATATGAATAACCTATTTATGCCAAACAAACAATACCGTTTAAGTAATTAATTAACAGTGAAGAAGAAAAATATCTGCATCACGAAACACCTGACGACTCCTGAGATCACTTCTTATAACAATGTAAAATATTATAATGGATTTTATATGTTACTTATTATTATACTAAATATGGTGCCTTCTACGAGATATTTGTTATGTTTTCCTACCATTGGGTACCCAAGAAAATATAATGTGATTTTCTCAACAAAACGTCAACATTTAATTGTCGAGTTCATTAATTAGGCGGACATTTTTCTGTTAAACACTTACGGCTGGTGAACACGCATTATTCAATGGAAGCAGTGTCGTGCATATTATTGTCATTACTGTGCGGAAATATCTTCGTCGAAACTTGTTTACAGAAACAGTACATACTGCCCGTCCAAGCCCGTCGCTAGGGTACAAGCAAGTCGCACGTTGTTTTAAAGTGACATACAATTTTAAAGAAATTTAAGGGACAAAATTAGATAAGTATCGACAATAGACGACAATAATTATAATTTATACTGCGTTTTCATCAGTGGCGTATTTGAGGGAGTGATAGGGGTGATCTCCCACCCCAAGATATGTTTTGAAAATCGCATTTTATGTTTATTGAACTTTTTTTTTTCTGTTTGATTCGGCGACGCCACGGGTGGACTTTCGTATTACTTCTGTGACACCACCAATTGTTTATTGAGCTTATAAGTGTTTCTACATATTTTAATCAATACATATATATATTTTTTTTTCTATGCAACTTATTGCATTTAGGAGTTCTTCTTATTGATAACATTATGATCATTTTTAAATTGAAATTAATGTTGATGATGTAATTGATAGATTCACAAGTACCTATTAAAAAAAGAAATATAGATTTTGTTTTGTAAATGAAAATGTGCTTTGTGTTTTTTAATATATAAAAAATTTTTGGGATGGATGGAGGGTATTTTACCCTTCCTATTACCCCCCCCTCCCGTGGTAAAGTCTCGAATACGCCACTGGTCTTCACCATTATCATATGAGCTTCACTTGCTCGTTATGACTGCGAATGATTATAGCATATTATAATTGCGATTTGTATTGCTTTCAATAAAGAGTGACAAACAATTTTCGCTTTAGGCAGAAAATATCAAACGACGGGACTATACACGTCCGTAAACGAACAATAGGTACGTGATAAACTTACTGTTCGTATAATATTCAAGAATAATTATTACATTACTAACGTATACGCATCTTTAAATCTCAACTAACTAATCTGTCAAGCCGGTAATTCGAATTAAAGTTATGAATGGTGTGTATACTATTTTCTCGATAAGAAATTTTAAAAATTATTTATAATGCATGCAAAAATAAAGGTTAATTTATTACTACGGTAATCAGCCACAACGATATTATCAGTTTAATTTTGCTCTCTATATAAATATCAAGAAATGGTAGTGAACGGACATTTGACAACTATCAACAAATCAGATTTTTTTAAATCGGATATATTTTCATAATATCATAATCTGTATAATAATAATATGGGAATTCCTTACTTCTCGTTCTCCAAATAAATATTTAAATCTTTAAATTTCAAATACATAAATTACACGGTAAAACTCTCATTTGTGATGGATTGCATACTATAATATACTCGAGTTATAAGTTTATAATTTATTCATTTAATTTTATTATAAAAGTGTAAATCTGAAAATTTGTGTATCTCAAAAAATTAAATACAAATAAAACAAAAATCTAGATCCACAGACGAAATGCAGAGTGTATACAGAAACATTTTATTATTATTATTATTTTGTAAAAAAAAAAAATTATCTGCCATTGTTTATTTATAATTTTAAGTGTATGCTCCTATCTTTGAGTTTATTATAGGACATTGTTTTAACTTATTCATCGTATACAACAACAACATTTTAAATAAATTATTTTCCGCGATATGAAGAATGAAATGATTGAGAAAATAGAGGAATACGCGTTACGGTGTACATTATTTAACGAAAAGACTGAGTATACTATAACAGTGGTCGAATGATTTCTTAACACGATTACTATATGCATTCAATCCCATTTCAATATTTAACTCAATTAAGTAAACTCAGTAAATCGAAATATTTTTTTTTTATGAATGCTTTTCATTCATTACTAACTGAGCATTAAAATATATGCTGGATATCTTCCAGTCTTTTCGAATCTAGAGCTGGATTTTTATACTACGCAGTAATCAAAATAAAGCTCCTGATTTTACATCGTTATAATAATAAATAAAAACCAACATTCATAATCAACTATAATATGGCTTTATATCAATTGTGCCGAAAATCGCAGGTAAAGAAAGAAAAATTATAGGATGGAAAAAAGGTATACATCTATTGCTCCCATCGATATTCGAGTTAATACATTTTGCTACTACCTCATTGATATGTATGAGTATATTGATGAAAATGCAACTTTTCCCTCGTATCTTTGGTCGTGTAACATATCAGGCGAAAGAACATCAAATGCCTGTGAGGCATTTCACTCAGCGTTTGGGAAATATTTTTATTCACCCCATCCAAATATTTTTGTTTTTTATGATATGTTTTAAAAATAATGTAACGCAACAATCATAATACGTGTTCTCTTAGTTATCACAAATAGACCAAGCTCTAAATTTATGACAAAAAAATTAATATTAAAATAGACATTACTAATTTTAATATTGGACCAAGAACTTTTCAAAATTTGTAGAATTAATGTAAATACATATATATATATATATTTATATTATTAGTGTAAATACTAAATATGTAGAATGATAAGTTTGATTTTAATTTTAATTTTTATATTTAGCCATTATGATTTTTACTTATACAATATAGTTGTTATACCGGTGCAATAGATGTATACCTTTTTTATTTACCCTTTTTATACCGACACAATAGATGTATACTATACAGGTGTCCCAAATTCAGCGCAATTGACAAATACTGTATAATATAACTACCGTATATATGTATAAAAAAAAACTTGTAGTTCCTAACATCGGCAAAAAACAAATGTTATGTTAAATGTAGGGGTATAACTAAGGTGACCAAATATTTTTCTAGTCATAACTGAACAAAAAAAATTTTCAACATTTTGATTATAATCAGTTTTTTTTTATTTAATAATTATTAACAAAATTAAGTTCCATTATGGTTTTAAGGAACAAAAAAAATAAATTAATTCATTATTAACTTATTATGAAGTTATTCATTTTTATTATAAAAACTTTTATATATATATAGGTAAAAAAATGCTTCTACGTAAAGAAAACGGCTAATGATTATTGTAACATTGAAATATAGAACTATGAAAAATAATTTAGTAATTTTGTGTCAGCGCTGATATTGTGGTGTTTATATATAATACATTAGGTTAATACGTCCATATTAATAAATTGCTGCAATATATATTTTTATATTTTATTAGGGTAGCTATCTATTCCGATTAACTAAATGCCAATGCCATTTACCATTACAACTCGTCATCGTCAACCATGCAGTAATACAGTATAAGTCACATGTACAGAAACTAGTTAAATATAAGAGAAACAATAATTCATCAACAAATTAAAATCGATTATCGTTATTTTTTACTACTTTCTGAAAACGAGACACTAATATGTTTAGTTTTTAAAAAAGTAAGATTCAAATTCCAAGATCAAAGAAGATTCCCCTGAAGACAATGGAACAAAGATACGAAAACCGGGACTATCCTGTTCAGAACGGAACGTATGTGTCACCTTAGCTATAACTGAACGCGTTTAATTGTTTGGTAATTAAACGTTATTATACTATAATCTACATATAACTCTACTTATATGGTATAAAACTAAATCTTTGTTTTGGACTTAAGTGGATTAAAGATTATAATGGTTTTCTTAACTTTAATGCAATGGCTCAATAATATAATATTTTTTTTTATCTATTTTATAATAAAATGTTAGTCGTCAAATATTTAGATAGAAAAAAAATATTTTAATATTACGTTTTTATTTTACGTTTGCATACATATAATATTATTATGTAAACGTACTGATAATACATAATTTAAGGTTAAGTATAAAATTCCTTATAATTAATAAAAATAATGATAAAGGAGTTGTATACTTTAACTTTTATAAATCACTATTTTCCTATTTTCAATAAAAAGCACCACTACCTATAATTTATACTGAATGTCATCAGATAACATCAGATAACATCTGATGACATACCACTATTTATATTTATACTATATTTTTTTAATTTAGAATTAATTCGTAAAAATTATGAATTAAAAATAAATGTAATTTAGATTAAGTTTTTTATCGTTTTAGTACATTAAGTAAGTGAGTATTTCTTAATACATAAATCAGTTAAGTTTATGATGTACCTAAGTAAAACAAAAAATGTTTCAAGTTTATGAATACGCATTTATTACCTTTATATGATTGGTATAATGTTGATGTCTGGATTCGTCGAAGAGCATATCACGTGTTCTTATTGGACACTGATTAAAATAAAAGTTGATTGAAATTTGTTGTGATTTTAAAAACAAAAATCACCAAATTACAATTAAATATTATAATAAGTATAAATAATTTAATAAGAAATATGTATCGGTGATCACAGAAGGCAAGTGCCTGATGACTTTCCAACAATGAGTGTTCAAAAATAAAGTCAATAATAATACGTACCAAACACCTTATCTTATAAAAGACATCCAATAAAACACACACGAGATAACGTTAGTCGTTAAGTGACAAAGTACAAAACTATTGATGGGCAAGTAGGTATAATTAATAATTAGTAACATAATACAAATAATTAGAATATATTATACGTCAGAAATTTTCTTTGATGTATAATATTAGTTTATAATTTCATAAACATTGATTTCAATACGGCTACATATATTACTTAAATAGTTAACCAGAGCGGATCGTTACTTAGAATGTCGTACGTTTTTAATTGTAGAAAAATGTTTAGACCTGGTATAATTATTTGTTTTATTAAAATACAAAACTTCTTGAGTTCTATCTTTCGATCTGTACACGTGTAATTAATAAGTCCTACACGAAATAACCAAACACGACCATTAATTCATTATTGTATATAACTATTGTCCTATACGGTATACCTATATATGATTCAATTGAGATCATTAATACTATAAAAATATCTCAACAGCAGGTGATAACAAAGAACAACATTTGAAATATGGTGTACCAATAAAAGTAAAATATAAATGTATAATAATAAAAATAATAATACAAATTTTAATTCGTATTTTATCAATAAAATAATTTAAGATAGTGATACACCTATCCATGAACCAGAAATAACCATGTTGGTAATTTTTGTTAAAATCAATTTCAAATACAACATTTTAATAACTTTCAACGAAAATCGTGGTGTACAAGTGAATAAGTTCCGATTATAGCATTACTTATTATAAAAAAATGAAATACCTTAGGAGCCTAAGTACCTTAATCTATGAATATATACTTATAATAATTTGTTCACTAAAAGTTAATTTTATTTAAATACTACGGTCTGGGAAACAGAAATAGTAAATATATTACCAACCACACATAAGTTTCACATTTACCTGGTTCACCATTTCAAATCAATTCAATTTCCGAATGCTTACAATGTGATATAAGTATTTATGATTTATTGTAAATAATATTTTCTTTTTATTATTATTATGATTTGAATTAATTATTGTAACCCCATTCTCTTTATGTACACCTCAAGAACTACACATTTCAAGTTAGGGCTTAAACATGGATCAAATGGCTTTTTATGAAACGGCCAAATCTAATATTTGTGCTAGATTAGATATCAACATACCTTACAATCTTTTAAGACGCGAGTAAGCGTGTGTGTGTATGGTTTTTAGAATATTTCATAATAGTTGTCAATATGTACGTAGAATTATAACAAAATATTAACATCACTTATCCTTTTATTCTCCAAATGTGACAAGACCATGTTTGAAATAATATTTCGTCATGAAGTCTTTTATTATAATTTATTGCCGTATTTACAAATATATTAATGATATATTTTAATGTACCTGTATCAGGATACCACTTAATCGCAACACAAATAATACTCCATCACTATTTCGTACTCGAAAATTAAATAATTTTAAAATAATGACGCTAAAATCTATTATAGCCGAAAGATTTTATTTTTTATATCCAACTAAACGCGAATAATATTCCTCCGTTTATTCATACCACTTTGCACCACCAATTATATCCGTAATAAACCTATGTTCAGAATGATGCGCATTGCTAATGAGTATTCAGCCACCTCATTTTAATTATATTATGTAATTACTTTTTACTATTATAATATATTATCTTGTATCACTGTACTTTGGGTCACGGCCCGTTCTGTGTATAAATAAAATAAAAATAAAATAAAATATTCATCTTAGATTTCTCAGATTCAGTGGCGGATTTAACGGTCGTTTAGTCGGTAAATGCCGACGGGGCTCCTTTTTTTCTAAATTGTTTACTGAGGCCCAAAAAATTGTTATTAATTTATTTAAATTTTACCACACAAAAAATAATTATCATACAAACTGTAATATCGTTTACAATTACCATTTTTACTTTTAACAAAATAATTTAAATATACAGGAAATACTCAGGAATACTCTGAATACTTCAAAAATAAAATATTTTATTCATAAACAAAGTAGAAAAGATCGAATATAGATATAGTTAGAAATACTATTAACATTGTTTATAGAATTCTATATAATTTTCTCTAAGACTTGAAACTAATTAACAAAAAATCGTCCTATTTCACAAATATCAGTTTTAAAACTATTTATTTTGCATTACATAATAACAATTGAAATTAATGATGAACATGGATCACATAGGATTACTTAAAACAGTTTTTTATTAACTTGGCGGCAAAAAATATTTTATTTTACAGAATTTTACAAAACGATGACTTATTTTATGTAATACAAATTTGATTTTTTGTTGTTATATAGCAATTAATATATTATTCGCTATTCGATTTATCTATACATACAATTTGCAGTTCTACGTGTCGACTGGAGTTTAAATTTATGTACATGTTGAACTCTAGAAATAAATATTTTTAATCAGTAAGTTAGATACAGAAACAACTAAACGAAGTATAAATTTAAATTTCATAACTAAGAACACAAAGGTGTGACTAGATAGTTTTGTGATGTTTACAATATATTAATGTTTCATAATATAATTAAACACTCTAAATTATACATGCAAAGTCTGTATATATAACGTGCAGGCCCTATTATTTGTACAGTTTTGGACTGCACGCTTCATTTTACTGCTTTAAATGAAAATTTAGTCTCGCTACTATTTTAGAAAAAGGAATATATTCCATACATAATGTATATATATATATATATATATGCATTAAACTTTAAAAATTCAATAATACTCATATTTCCTAGTAGTTGGCATAATATTTAATTTTTATTTTATAGACCGTAGTGCACACACGTTAAAACCGTAGTGCACACTTGTACATTCGTGGTGCACATTGTGTGTCGGGGTGCACATAAAAATAGGGCCTGATAACGTGTATATATTTATTTATATAGGTATTCGTAAAATCTCATAAATACTCTAAAAACCAAAAACCATCTATAATAAATCACTAGTAAGCGATTTCAGGGCAATTTAGTATTCGTTTATGGCACTCGGTAATTAAGCACGCTCTTTAAATTATTACAATAGGTATTGAATATTTTTACTCCATAATTATTTGTTCTTAATAAAATGTAATATCGATCGAGACATAAACATTAAATATTTTCATAATATAGTCTGTCAATATGAATATAACTATATAGTTTAATTTTTAGAAAATATACTTTTCATCAAAATGTCTCTATTGATGATATAATTGTAGTATGAAAAGTTAACAATTCCAATAAAGTGTGACACTTTATCTAGTGACAACGACCTTTGTTCAAATTTATTTTTGAATATGATGATTCATCATAGCTTTAAAATGTATACAAATATATAATTTGATTTATAATATACACAAATATATCTTAGTAACTTACAAAAAGTTAAAAATATTCAGTATGTCCCCAACACCTTTTATACACTAGTTTGTAGAAGATAGTGAAAATAGTGTACTTATGTATATTTAGTAATATTACATATACTTATATGTAATCTTTGGCATAGTTAATTGAATTTCGGATTCACTTAAGCTTTTTGTATGTTTTTTCAGAGAATACTAAAGGTAGTATCTGCAGATTCTCGATGTTGTTCAAATAGTTTTGTGAGTTTGATAATTTGATTTTTGACTCGAGTTTTGGTTAACTCCTTGGAGCACACTGGCAACTTATTCAAGCATGGAAGAATATTCGTCCATAATAAATAAGCAAACCAAAAAAGTGGAATTGATATAAGAGTTATATAGCTGAAATACATGTTATAGATAGAGAAAATAGTGGGTGATATCGAACCTTAGTAGATAAACCATTAATGATTTTTCTATGGGTTTCTATCCGTGATTTTATAGATTTAATATTATCTTCTTCTTCTTCTTCTTTTCGTGTCGGTTGACCGTTAGTTAATTTAATATTATTGTAATATAAATAATATAATTGATAAACTAATCAGTTATAATAAATACTCAAAACAAAATATATAATTAATTTACTAATCTATACTAATTTCTATAATTTATTACATTTTATAAACCAGTTATAACCAATTCTAAAAAAAAAAAAGAAAAAGAAGCTTAAATTTTATGATATATATTGTAATCTGTTTACAAACAGGTATTTAACAATATTGGAGATATTATTTCGATTTTAAAGTATAAATTGAACAAAATCAAAATCAGTGCCGTCGCAAGCTTTTGCGAAGCCTTAAGTAGTAGTTGAAATGGCTCAAGATAAGTGGAGGTATGCCTTACAATTCAGATTTCCTAATATCATCATAACATTCTTCACACCTTGTATATCCATAATATTTTTTTTTATATTTTTTTATAGTTCATATAAGGTATATTATCTTAGTCCGTGGCTCTAAATACGGGTATAATACCGGTTGCGAAACGGCTGATACTAAACAACACGATAAGCCGGGATAATAAGTATATCATTTTAAAATACAAGTCTTAGGAGGAATGTGTTATTCTAGACAAAACAAGTAAAGGGATGAAAACTGTAAATACAAAAAAGAAGAGGTATGCCATCCCACCGTATCATCCCCACTTCGAGCACTGGCCTTAGGTAAAATTAGTGTGTTTTCTAATCGAAATTTAGCTATTTATGGTCTTCTTCTCCTTCGCCTTTGTCCCAACTATTTGAGGTCGGCCATCTTTGTCCTATTTATGGTATACTTATATAATTTTTTATAATTTTATAAATTTTCTATAACATATAAAAAAAACACCCTTAACAGTTATTTTTATGGACATGGTACCTACACTAAAAGTTGGCATTGTAGACAAGAGTCTTTGGTTCACTTTTTTTTAAAGACCCTCCCCTACGGACAAATTCTGCGCACGCTTATGATCTTAGTTAAATCAATAATTATTTTATATTTTCCAGAAATTGTTTTATTTAAATTTATAATACAATTAACATTTTAGTTTACAAAATCAAATTTAAAAATATAATATTAATGCGAACGAATCAAACTTGTTTCGTGGCATATTTTTATTATAAATATATAGTGTAATGTCATTTTATTATTGCAGTTTAAAGAATAATCTCAGGATACTTTTAACTGTATTACAAGCATAGATTAATTTTGAAAAAGTGCAATCTTGTGTTTTAAGAAAATTTATAATTGGAAAATGTATTAAATGCAGTAACATGAATATTAAATAATGACACTTCGAAAAACACAAATATACAATTCATTGGCGTACTAGATACAGTTTAATTTGGGAAGACCCTACATTTTCCTGAGGGTCAAATCTTAAGTATTAAATTAATATACATATATTTTTCCAAGTGTATGTAACCGAACATTTATATGTATGAATGTAACTAGATAAAGTTGAAATCTATTTATTTTCTGTTGGCAGGTAATAATTAGAAATTCTTATCATGTCAAAATACGATTTAAAAATATATTTTGTGACACTTTAACAAATTATGTAACGATAATTTTCATTTTCAAACATGCTAAAGTGGTATTTTGGTTATAGTAACTAATTAATGTTATGAATATTAATTATTATTTTACAATTTTTTCTAACTCTCCTAAAGATAAGTTAAATTATGCAATAAATATGTCACATTTCAATAAACAATTAATGCAACTTTTGGCGTGTATACAATTATGATTAGTACCTAGTTGATAAATTAATAGAGTGGGATTTGTTCCATATTGTTAAGTAAACGTATTTTGAAACTATTTTATTGAAGTAAAATAATAAAAACATTAATTAGTTGCTGTAATCAAAATACCACTTTGAAACTTTTGAAAATAAAAATTTATCTTATATAATTTACAATCTATCACAAAATATATTTTTAAATCGTATTTTTGAATAAATATGTATAATATATTTCTAAAATATTCAGTATTTACATAATTATTCAAGTATCTATTCAGAATAATTTCCCATTCGTTTAATATTTTAGTATGTTTATATATTTATTTAGTACAAAAATACAAGAATATATTATTACGACAACTCGGTGGTACGCCAAACCTTTGCTACGAAATACGAACTGACCGTATCAAAATAAATAAAAACTATTAGTCTTGATTTTGCCGTATCTTCTACTTATTTATTTTATAAATCAAAATTTTAATTTACTTGGGTTATAATTATTTTGGATTTGATATGCATTCCTTTTAATCTACCTTCACACCTTAAAATAAATAAATGAATAATATAATGTGGTAAAATATGTACGAAAGAAAATATAAGTATTCCTAAGTAGGTAATGATTATTGTTTTATATGATATTATAAAGTGATTATATATATATTTATATATATAATAATGTGATTATAGCATATATTTTTATTTAATTGGACATATTTAAGGCTTAGAGTGACTTCAACATTTTTAATATGAATACTCTATAAAAAATTATACATAACTTTTAAATAAATCTCGTTATTTGAGTAATTTTAAGGAAACTTCTAATATTTGCATAAAAATAATAAAGGTGTTATGAAGTTACAAAGAAAAAAAGCTTAAAATCATTATATTTAGAGAAGGGGAAACTATATTTTGTTATATAAATTCCAATAATTATGCCTGTTGTAATTTGTAAACGTATTAACTAATAATACTGTAAACTGTTTATAATATATTATAAACAGTTTTAAAAACAAATATTATAATATTTATTTTTATGTGAGAATTTAGTGATTATGTAGAAAAATCCTGTTTTTAATATTCATGACAGTTTAATATTATTAATGTATTGATTGTAACATTTTGCACAACAATTAGTTTTTTCTGATAAATTAAGTACAAACTCCAAATTTTTAGCTAATAAATTGATTATAAATTACATCTATTATTGGAGGTGTATGAATAGTTCTGATTACCATAAGATTGACATTTATAAATGTCACATCTGTATATCGATCCATTGTTCTGTTATTAGTTTCCATATACACCGATTATATTATATGGGTTATATGACGAGAACAATATTTCTTAATATGACGAAATTAAATTTTATTATTTTATTGTGATACTTGGATTTATAAATAATAAGTATTAGCAACTTGCAATTTCATGAAAAGAACGTTAGAGCGATGAAAAAAAAAACCTTAAAATATAAAATAAATGTAAAATATGTATTTATTGAGCCCTTCTCAATTTCATTAACAATGATAAAACTCGGGATTTCACAAGTGTTATCAATCTAATAATTTCAGATATACCTATTGGCAAGGGCGCCCATAGGAAAATTCTCAAAGGAAGGACAACATTTTAATTTATCAATCTATTCATAAATAGGAATGACCCACGATATAGGAAGGGGTTTAAAATTTTACATTATACTATTACATTATATATATATCAAATTGGAAGACTATAAAATAATAATTATTTAACCAATTTACCATAAAAGTAATTTATTGAAATTTTTATTTAATTAATAATACAAATTGGATACTTAAAACATTAGTTATATTTATTAAAATATTAATTTACAAATATTATATAAATATTATGGTTGTGTACACTCACACATATACATACCGTATTTTTGGAAATATATAATATTTTAAGAATTGATAATTATCCATAGAATAGAAACGAAAAAACGTATTGTTATTTATAGCTGATAACATGATTTCCTAACTAAATAAATAGATTTTTCGAATTATAAATTTTCATATATTAAATTAAATTTTTAAATTCTATTTAAATAAATATTTTCTGATTATAGAAAACAATTTTCCAAGATTTTTGACATTTTACAGGGGGGGAACATGTCCCTCCCTTGTCTTCCCCCCCTATGGGCGTCCTTGCCTATTGGCTATTACTGAAAATTATTTTTATTTCATCTTAATTCAAATATACAATGTATCTTCCATTATATTTCTAAACATTTTAAATAAGCTATAACGCATATGATTAATCTGGTATTTAAGTTTTCGAGATTATTATTTTGGAAATTGTAAAAGGGAAAAATAATACTTGAATTTCTAGACGGTTACTTAAAATTTTTAATTTTAAGAAATACGTTTTAAATCACATATCAATGTCTATACAATAGGAATTGCATGGTTTATTGCGTACAGAACATTTCTCAGTTTAAACCCTTATGACTAGCTTGCCCAAGATAAATCACATATTATTTATTGCTAATGTAATAATGTAATTATATTTCGTCTAGGTACTTGATGGATGGTTAAGAGGACGCCTCACCCGAATGTGTTGTTTCCGTTTGATACGCGTACAACATAGAAAATTTGCATTCAGTTATTTAAATAAAGTGATGTAAATTTTATATTCAAAGTAAATTAACATATAATTAAAATTTAAGAGAAGAAAATTATTTATGTTTTGTTGGTCAGTTTTTTCAATACTTTAATTTTTAAGTGAGTTATAAATTTTTTTTGAATTTTAATATTTTACATACTTAAAACTACATAACACATAACTTACCTATAAAAATTAAAATATCAAAAAAACCGACCAATATAACATAGATAATGTTCTTACCTTAAAGTGTAATTATTGATCAGTTTGCTTTTATATTTAAACCATAAACCTTATACTATAGTATAAGGTCTATGATTTAAACTAATGTTACTAAATTTCAACTACTGAACGCAAATGTGCCATGTTGTACGTTTGTTAGACGGAGACAACAAAGATGGGTGTGGCGTTTTCCTAAGTTATTTCTTAATATTATCTACTTACAAATACCTAATTGGAATTATATTATTTTGTTTAGAATGAAAAAATAGTTCAATAATTCATGCAAAGTTACTTAGATTTCTTTATGTTCAAATTTTAGAATAAAAATAATAGATTGAATTTTTCCCAAAACAGCAACTTCAAAATTTGTTCGCACTATTTTTCAGTACTTAGCCGTCAAAAGACCTCTAAAATCTGAATTGTTGAAATCTTAATAACATTTTAACTTTTGGACCCCCCAAAATTTCTTCAATATTTTACGAATGTTTAAAATACTTATTTATTTTTAATACCAACATAAATATTTTCAGTCAAAAATGACTTAAGCTCCAATTAATCATTGACTGCTTTTAATTTTATATCATAATATCATATGAAAATATGATATTGTAAAAATATTGTAAAAATGTAGACGATTATGAGTTCTATCACTGTCCGGCGTTCGAACATATTGCTATCATTGTACGTCTTTGTTGATAAGTAAATGAGACCAACCGCCAATTTGTTATCAAAATATAGTTTCACATTTTATTAATTCGCACAACGATAACATTTTGAAATCTTGTGCTCGAAAATATTATTATACAAAATATTCCATACTTTACAGAGTTCACGTTTCTCCATATCTTCAAACTTGAGTTCTTACGTAAGTGTGTTTATTCCCATTCTGAATTAAAATTAGATACATATTGTTAAATGTTAGTGAAAAATGATGGACGATAGTACCGACGAAATCGTTTTAGATGACTTTTGCTACACTGATCTTCAAAAAGTATAATGAAAGTTAATTTAATAATATCAATGGATATTTAACTTATCGTTTTTTTAGAAACTGAACTGTGTAAAAAAAATCATTGTTGATTCAAACTATGAAGGAGATAAAGAATTGTCCATTAACAGATTATTGCAGGTAGTTATTATAATGTAATTTTTTTTTATTTATATATTTACATATATAATAAAGTAATAATTTTAATTATTTTAGGACTGTTTACAAATGTTAAATAATGGAAAAATTGCACTGGAATGCATGGAAAAAGGACCTTGTACATCAAGTATTATAGTACCTGATCTCATATCATATGAAAAAGGTGTAATTGCATCTTTTAAACATTGTTCAGAAAGTAATGTGATTTATGGAAACTTTATTAATAATGTAAAACAATTGCTTACGGATTTGTTCAAAAAGACATCAGCAGTACAGATATTGTTTTTCAATATTATAGAAAAAGTTACATTTGATTTAACACTTAAAGGAGATCAAGATTTATTGCTTAGTGGTTAGAAATTTTTTTTTTTTATTTATATTACTAATATTTAAATCAAACTTGTGTAATAATCATATATTACTATTTCTGTATTAAATATAGTGTTACAGCATATTTGGTATGGTGCTGAAGCAGTATATAATGCAAGTAATAAAATTATGGCTACTAATTGGAAAGTTTATATTGCTATGTCACAGAAATACTCAGTAGAACTAAAAAAAAATATAATAAATGATGAACCAATCAATTTTCTTTGCAATGAAATAAAGAAAAAAGTGTTATCCTTTCACCATAATGATGAAGTTACATTAAAATTATCCACGTATTTGATGAGTGTTTTAGTAAAACTTTGCTCATCTGGTTGTATGTTAGAATCTCATAAAATGTTGGTTGAATTTATTTTATTTCTTAATTGGTAGGTAAAAATAAATAATATACTTAATAAATGATAGTATAATACTGAATTAAATTAAATTTTTATTATGTTGTGTTATATTATTAGCTATTGGTTATCAGATTCACAAGATGTCATTACTATTAAAGACAGATTATCACAATTTGTTGATCAACTAGTGTTGATATCAGATGAAATGTTCATAAAGGTAATTTAATATTTAAATGGGATTAATTTTTTTTTACATATTTTGTTAAATTATTTGAAATTTAAGTTATAATTTTTCTGTGTTTAAGGTATTTCAATTAAGTTGTCAAGATATAATTAATAAGAATACAGCAAACCAAAAAATATCTGCACTATACATTGCAATGTTGTTATTAAAACGTTTAATCAAAACACCATGTAATCAACAAGCTGATGAAACAATTGATATTGTTTTTCAATTGATAAAATGTATTGATCCAGTAATGTGTTGTTATAACATAGATATCTATGACCCTTTACTAATAAATTTAGCATCAGTAATCCTTATGTCTGATTACAAATTATTCGAAAAGGTTGAAAAAATTGTAATTGAAAATATTCTCAATACTGAGTACTGGTCAGCAATGTTTAGTAGTGACTTATGGATTATTATAATGAGGTATTATTGTTAAATTAACAATGAAAAATAATAATGATATATTTGCATTTTTTTCCCAGGTATTTACCATCAGACATGCGTAATGTACAGTTTTCAAAATTAGCTAAACTCTATGAAATGTTGGTTGAATTTCCATGTTTTACTCAGTGTCCACAACATATTTATCTAGAAACATTGTTGAGGAGACATTACTCCCTATTAACCGATAAAAATCAACTACTGAACATTTGCCCTCAGCTCAAAACTGAAAGTCTGAAATCTGCTATTGGAATACTTCATGTCCCAACACTTACAAAATATAATTGTTTATCGGAATTGGTATTATTTCTATAGCAAAGTTATACTATTTTAATTATTTTTTATAAAAATGTCTAATTTTTTATTTTCATTGTAAAAATTTAAGTACTAAATGGATAATTTATTTTTAAAAATGTTGGAATATAAAAAATAATTTTTGCTGTAAATCATTAATATTAGAAAGATATAAGAAAATGAGATTTTCATGGATATCAAACAGTACTAGTTAACATGAACAAATATACTGTGAAAAATGTTTCAATGATTTTTAGTGATTTAAAAATTTAATTAATAATCAAGAACCATTTATATTTTTATAAAATATTGAAGAAAATTAATAATTAAACTAACAAATTTATAGTAGTTATTTTAGAAATGAAAATAAATTATAAAATGTTTAAAAATTAGATAAAGCAATAAAGTATCGAACAAATTTTAATATTTATATGGACAACATTTTTAAATACTACTATTATATATTAATATATTACCATCACATATGTAGTTCATCTGTACATATCTGGTAGCTTATGGTTATTTAGCTATATAGCTATCTTACATAATTTAAATAAATAGGAAAATCGTTATTCATAAATAAAAAACTGTTTAACTAAATAATTGTAAAAGAAAAAATATTAAAACAAGAAATCCCAATTCTCATTATACCTAATTGTTATTATTATTATTATTATTTTTTTTTTAGGTAAAAATAATTACTAAGTTACCAGAGCAAAAAAATTATGAACAATTAAATGGGGATATAATATATTTATGGAATTGTATTAAAGATGAATATCCAAATAATTTTTTATGTGCTTTAATTGAAGTTACTATTGGCTCTGAAAAGATACTCAAAACAATTCTTCCTAAGGTACAAAAATAATACTATAACCTACTACTGACTATAAAATAGAAAAACCATTGAATTTAAAAATGTATTAATTTTTTTTTTTTTTTTAATACTTAAATATGTATGTTTATTAGATTAACACAATTATTAGTGGACATAACTACGAAGACACCACAGAAATGAAACGCTGTAGACTTCGATTAATTCGATCAATATTATTGCACATACCAACATTTGAAGAAAATCTTATTCTGGAAATTTTTTTCAAATATCTATTTGACCAACATCCATTAGTACGGCAATGGACTGTTGAAACTATAGTGTATTTTTCTAGTGTTACTGGAAATCAAAACTTGGTTTCTATACTCTTTAAACGACCAGAAATTAGAAGTGTTATAACTGACTATTTAAAAATGAAAACCAACCTTACTTATAATCATAATGATATTGAAAAATACTTTAAACAATTATCGCTATGTGGTAAATTTCAACATAATTGTTCATTTAATGGCCAGTTAAACAAGATGTTAGATAAATTAAAAACTGATATTGATTGTTTAAATGACATTGTATGTAAAACTAAAATGTCAGCAGATGAGTTGGAAAGATTAAAAGAATATTCCTCTCTTTTAAATAATATTTGTGAAGCAATGCAATTTGATATTGAAAATGTATAATATTTTTTTAAAAATGAAATGTTCAGCATAAATCAGTATATAATTATAATTCTTAATACTAAAATATTTTAAATTTATTTTTTATTTGTATTTAGTTATATTACATTTTATGAAGAAGTTATTTTTTTATTTTTTTACATGTTACATTATGTATAATTAACTATTATTTTTGTAATATAATGAAACATTTTTTATACTATGTAATAATAATTAATGAAATTAAATAGATTTTCTTTTTTTCTTTTTTTGTTAAAATTAATATTTATTTGTACTTGTTGTATTACTTTTTATGAAAAGGTTATTTTTATATTTTTTTACATGTTACATTATGTAAAATTAATTATTATTTAGTAATACAATGAAACATTATTTATACTACGTAATGACACTACGTAAAGTAATGACATTTTATTTTTATTGTAATTAAATAGATTTTTTTTTTTTATTAAAATTAATATTTTTTTGTACTTATTAAGTGTTTATAGTTCTAAAAATTAAACTACTGTCAAACTAAACTTGATGGATCTAAAAATATTAAAAATGTAAAAGATAATCTAGGTAAAGTATAATTTTCCTGTAAAAAAATATAAGAAATCTATAATACCCAATTTATACAGTTTTCATTTGATATTATGGACTGTGTTACATTTTCAAGTTAAAAATTGTTTGGTATCAGACTATTTTGTGTACTCAACTTTACAAATGTCATACTATTTAAACTTGTAAATGATCAATTGCCATTGAAAGCAGTGATGTAGTTAAGTTATTATTTCAAAATTTAAAAAAATTGGTGGTAAGATGACAGTTACTGCTATACTGAATTTAATAATAATATATTCAATAATTTAACTTGTAAGACTACATCGTCAGAGTATAATAAATTAACTAATTAAGTACATACGATGTGATTTGGGCATATTTTTAATCTACATTTTTATTTTTTGATATGTTATTTAAAGTTGCTAGTGGAGTTTGTGGGTACCTTATAAACGTTTTTGCTCTCCATAAAAAATTAGTTTTACGCGTCACTGGTTGAAAGATAATTGTATTTCTATTTTTTAATAGATCCAATACTAGAACATTTTTAAGTTAAAAATAAGTAAATATTTTAAGGATATTTAATTTGAAATAAATTTCATTCAATCAAATGAATAAGTGATAAATGAATTTATCACTTGAACAAAAATCGAAATAAGTGTTTTATATTTATCTTAAACAATGTGAATAATTCATTATTTGCATAGTACCTAGTACTTTCAAAGTCATGGGATTAGTGTTATTTTTTTAACACAAAGTAAGCTTACAAAAACAAAATATCCATAAATTTAGATTCATGATTTAAAAATTTTTAATTTGTCATAAATATAATACCTATTTAAAGTAAAATGTTACCGAAAATGACTTTTACAAGGAATGTGGAACTGTCGGTTTTAATCAAGTTATATGATTTGAAAGGTAAGGTAACTACTGAAAAATCGTAGTAAAATATTAGTTTGAAAATGAACATACATGCATATAGGTTTATTCAGCGTTCTATACTTCTAAAGATTGAACTCTTTTTTTTTTTTTTTTTTTAGTTACAACTTTGATTTTTTTTTTTTTGTGAATACAAACTGTTATATTATTATTATTTTTTTTTAATTTAAATTTCTCAATAGGTATAAACGAAATAGATAAATAAGAAAAAAAATAAAATTGCATTAAACTCATTATTGTTCGATCATTAAACCGGCTCGATTTCATAACACAATGCCTAACTGTCACGAGAATATTATTTAATGAGATATATTTTTCCCAGTGTAACAAAAATGTAATTTTATTTTACCTTCTTTTAAAAACTAGTTAACCAATTCATTAAAGGTACTAAAGTCCTCTAGGATCTGTAAAACTCTTTAGTTAGGTAAATAATTAAATGTAAATGTTTAACTCATGTTTACTAAACAACTAATTACGTAGGTCGATAGAAATATATCATATACCTATTTATTTAGTAAGCAAAAGTGGTGTAAAAAGGATTTGAGTTACATTATTTAGAAAAAATCGGTAATTTAATTTTTAGTCAAGTCGATTGACACTGCCTGTAAAAATAAAATATAAGTGATATGTTATTATTTATTATCAGTATTCTTATCACTATCTTGCTGTAATAATTTTAGTCACAATCACGTATAAAATTTCTAATTTATGTAGAATGTAAAATGAATAATTAAAAATATAAATGGTACGTACTTTATTAGACACTTGTTTCACAGAATTTAATGTAACTTAAATGTGGTTTTTTTAATAATTTAATGTTCATTGGCATATAATCGATTCTTGTGGGTCAATAAAAATTTACCATTGAAACATTGAGTTGGTCGTATTTGCTGTAAAATGCAAGAAGAAGAAAACTTATGGTGAGTTTCAAATACCTATGTAAATATTTTTGTAGTACATGAATGATCTGCGAACATGTTTGCTCAACAACTAATAAAATATTATAATATTATAATATTTTATAAAGTAAAATGTTTGTATCGGATTTTCATAAAAATAAACCTGTAATTTATTTAAATGTTGAAGTCTATCAAATCATTGTATATGGCTCTGTTCAAGTGTACCCGTATTTTTTGCAGGAATTCCATGTTGATTTCATTAAAAGAAAAGGGAGGGACCCGATTACCTACCGACAAGTCTATGATCATTATAGGTAAGTTATACACAATATCAATAATTATTAAATTTAATGATTTTTTTGCTGTTTTTAGGTGATAATCAGTGTGGTAAAACCACACTGGTAGCTAAGTTACAGGGTATTGATGATCTAACAAAAGGGATTGGACTAGAATATGCTTATATTGATATTCGTGATGAATACAAAGAAGGTAACTAAGTAGTATAAATTGTATTACATTTATTATTAACTAAAATCCATAGAAAAACTTGAGTTGTAGCAAAAAGTTTAGCTATACATATATGAATTGCAATAATTATTTTTGAATGATTTGCAATAATGCAAATTTTTTTTTTACAAACGAATCATAAATTGAATTATTTATTTTCTGTATTGACATTCAAATAATCATTAATCTGTTATTACAATTGATTATATATTTATAGACAACAGTCATTTAATTAATTTCTCATAAATTATGGAATTAATTTTTTTAGATCATACAAAATTGAATGTATGGGTACAAGATGGCAATCCGAAATACTCATTTCTTTTAAAATTTGCCCTATCAGAAAAAAATTTTAAGAATACATTGATTATGTTTGTTGTTTCAATGAAAACACCATGGAATATAATGGATCAATTAGAAAGTTGGGCTACTTTGTTACAAGACTACATAGACAATCTTCCAATTCCTAGTGAAGAACTTCGAGAGTACCGTCAAAAATGTAAGTAAGGGCTGCAGTAGCGTAGTATACATATAAGCACTGTAACCACTGCTTACACTTGAAAATAAATCAAAATAAAAATTAAACATATTGGATCTATATGGCTATATGATAAACAGAGTTCGGAAATTGTAGCACTAAAAATTTTAAATATGCTCTTAAATATGCATTTAACTTGAAAAAATCATAAATTTATTAGAAAAAAAATTAAATGTAATTTTACAAATGTTTGGGGTCATAGACGTCTGGACTGGTTGAATTATAAAAACTGTTAACAAAAATGTTAAATTGATTAAATATATTTGTAAAAAAGTACTTATAATTAAATTATTTTATATAAAATTGGAAATTACCCTGAATTATTAAAATATTTGATAATCTAATGCAATGATACAATAAAGGAATAACAATGACATCACTAACTATTAATACAACAAATTGTCGATGAAAACAATTGATGAGGTCTATTTATTTCCAATAATTCAAATATTTTTAAAAATATAACCAAGTAAGTACTATTATTATCAACAAAGTGTAATTATTTCCTGTATTATGTGAAAATATACCCAAAAATAACACTATAAACCCTAAATTAGCAAAATAGCAATAAAACCCGTGAATATGCAAAAAATAGCAAATTAAATTTTGTGTATAATATCCAGTGGCGCACAGTAGATTTTTGTCAAGAGTATCAAAAATATATATTTCGAGATACCCCCCCTCCCCACCAGTAAAATTTGAGTTTAGGCATAGTATAGCTCTTAATTTTAGGTATTTTTGGTTTTTTCTTACCAATAAAGATACTAAAAATAAAATTGTTTAAAGTAAACCTAATACTAATTATTTTTCAATTTTCTGGGTATTAATTTATAAGTTTGTATAGCATAAGTCTTGGGATTGAGCTCTACTACTTATTCTCATATGACGCTTTAGTTCTAGGGTAAACATAATTAGTATATTGATTTGTATAGCTGAAAAATTGGTTAGTATTAAATTAAACAAATATTCATACAAGTTCACACAGAACTAGTCATCCACCAATTCTCTAAAGGGTATCAGTCGACACCCCTGACCCTCCCTGTGTGCGCCACTGATGATATCCAAGTAGTTTGAAACATATTTGTATCTTACTTTGGATATTCTATGATGAACAAAGAAAAATATGCATTTGCTAGAACTTCCGAACCCTGGTGATAAAGCATGGCGACAAGTGAAAAACGAAACAATCGTAAACTGTTTTACAACTGTATTACTAATAAAATACGAGTTACTCGAACTTTAATAAGTAATAATAAGTTATAATCAAGTACTTATTATTTTATTATATTAATCTATTAATCACAAATATCTGATCTTACACTTAAATTCATAGAACAAAAAAATAATTAATTAATAATTATCTACTTGTCTAATTTGATCAAGAATCATATAAATCAATATTAATTATAGACTTAAAATATTACTATATTAAAATACTTATTTTATAGTTATTATTTTTAAATTTATTTATTTGATCATTACATTCCATATTTCTTACATTTAATTTTTTATATTTGAAGTTAGTAAACAATATTATATTTATTACCTACGTGGTATCTACTTAGTAAATCTTGGTTAAAATATTTATTTCTAACATAGAAAGTGTTTTATTTTAAAATGTATCTATTTTATATTGTTCTTATAAAATAAATCTAATGCACTCGTAGATTAGCATTATTAAAATAAAAAAATGTTTGGTAGGTACTAATCAGTATTGGTTTTTAATCAAAATAATATCACGATTCTTTTAACCGTGTGAATATTTGTATTATTTTAATCGAATAAATAACTTGATTCTTTTAATTGAGTGAATATCTCGATTATTACCATATCTCAATTACAAATATATTGGTTATTGAAATCATTCGATTTTTCCCATCACTAGTTTAGAACATAAGAAAAAAATCTTGACGAATCCATGCTTTGGTCGTGACTGTCGCGTCTGAAAATGGAAAATCTGGTTTCATTCTATTAATAGCTGGTATTGTACTTCTATTAATAGCTGGTATTGTGCGTCGTACTGTCGTGTAACATGTTCTTCAACTGCTTACGTGAGCTTAAAATATTTAAAAACAAGACATTTTCTATTTCGATGTTCTTGAAGACTTCCAAAAACCCAAGAATAATTGATTGATTATTTATCTATTAAATAAAAGTATAATTTGTTAAAAGTTAAAAAATTCATAAATTTCAAATGAGTTGTATACATTTTTTTACTAATTAAATTTAGTTAACTGTAGACTTACGAGTACTAATAAATTTCCAATACATTTGTTTTTCTGTTTACACTTTCTCAAAAGCCACTGGTGGGCTATGAAATAAACAATAATTATTATTATAACTTACAGTAATAATAATCTCTCTGCAACAATCGCGTTTATTTTTTACCGTGTGTGTAAAAAATAATAATAAGCCGAATTAAGAAGTAAAAATTTAAATATTATATGTGCTAAAATAATGTATGCATATTTAAACGCTTGTTTTTTCATAGGATTAAAACTGTAAAGGTTCATCTTTTTCATATTATACCGAGATGAATAAAGTGATAATTGTGGTCATTGTATATTGAATGAAAATGTTTAAGATTATTTTTATATTTTTTATTATACATTATGTTATTTATTATTACAGGTATAAAAAAGTGGAACGAATATACTGAAGAAAACGTTGGTGATAAAAATAATTACTGGGAACCATCTCTTGGAGATGGAATACTTACTAGAAATCTAGGATTAGATATAATTGTTGTTGTTACAATGGTATGTATTTTGTACAATTTATATTATTACTAGTATTAAACATATTATTTATTTTAGACTGATTATATTTCTGTTTTGGAAAAAGAAAATGATTACAAAGATGAGCATTTTGATTTTATACAACAAGCAGTACGCACATTTTGTTTACAGTATGGAGCATCACTATTTTATACATCAGCCAAAGAAGATAAAAATTGTGATTTATTATACAAATTTCTTACACATAAGATCTATAACTTTCCATTTAAGACGCCAGCTTTGATTGTTGAAAAAGATGCGATTTTTATGTAAGTTTATATGTTTAACTGACATGTTAATGTCTATCATATATATATATATATATATATATATATATATATACAAATTTAATTCGTGTTTATATTTATACATTTCTGTAATATACCATTGGTTATGATTTTCAGCCCAGCAGGATGGGATAGCATGAAAAAAATTAGTATTCTTCATGATAATATGCAAACTATAAGACCTGATGAATTTTATAATTCTGTTATAACAAAAGTGAATACAAGAAAGGTTTGTGTCAAATCACATTGACAAAAGAATTTAATTTTTATGCTGGATTATTTTTTAGGCTTTTGCCAAAGACCATGAAACTCAAGCAGAAGATGAACAAGTATTTTTAAGCAAACAGCTAGGATTATTAAACCAAAGTGCCAATCAACAATCAGCTCTTGGTATTCCAAGACAAGACTCGGTAATGAGGTCACTTACAGGTGTGTCTAAGTCAGGCGATAGACGATTGTCATTAACAAACCAAAGTCAAGGTTCTCCTACTAAAAAGGTCTGTCTGCTCTCTTCAGTTATATATATACTTAAATTTATTTAAACTCAACTTTATCGTTTTGTTAAAGATTGATCCAGTCAAAGCCACTAACACATCAACTCCTGGTGAAGGTGTATTGGCAAATTTTTTCAATTCCTTACTACACAAGAAGTCCAACCAAAGTCCTGTAATGACAAAATCGCCTGGTATATAAATATTAAGTTCATAAGTAAAAAATGGGTCATTGAAATACAGATGATTCTTATTATGTATTACAGGTGAGTTATCTGGTTCTAAATCGTTATCTTTGGATAACACTGAATATCATACGGACACTTCAGCCGAATTGGATAAGTTGGCTAAACGAACATTGAACTTATCACATGAAACATCTACTGAAACCAATTCGTCTGAAAACGATATCGAAGAACAAACTTCAACTTCTTATGGTGAAAAATCATCTTCAGAATGTTAATTCAGGGTTGACTAATTATTTTTCCTACTATTGTGATAAATTAACCAGTATTAACGTTTTGTGCAATTTAATTATTATTAACTTTTAGTGGAGCTACACAATATTTATTAAGTTTTATATAATTTTTTTTTTTATTAATCCTATTTAATTTTAATTTAATTAAATTTATACAATTATATTTTTTATTTTAACTATAACAATGCTATTAAAAAAAAGATTTTATCGTACATTTTTACATAGACTTGTATTGAAAAATAATTATAATATAATATAATTATATTATAATAGATTATTGTACTAAAGCAAAACTTAGTGAAGGGCTTCAACTCTTGTTTCCAATATTTAATACACTAAGAGATCCAATATTAGTATTTAGTGCCCAATATTGTGTAATTAAAGTTGTTACCAAATACTCTAAATTTTGATAATTATAATATGTGTATTTTGTTAAATTATCAAAATTTAAAAATGTTAACATTTTGGAAACAATAATTAATTAGTGCTGATTGTTGGGGGCTTTGATAATTTGATCAAATATTTTGCATGACTGATTATATCAGAATATTAACTATTAAATTTAGCCATATTTTACTTAAATTGCTGCAATTTTAATGTTCACTAAATTATTTATATACGATATTTATATATTATTTATATTCGTATTTTTATGGATAAAATTTAAAACTAAAGAGCTATGAAAAAATAAGGCTCAGATTGTTTTTTAGCTATTATAGTATTTATATATGTAACTTATAAGCATGCATATTGTAATATGTCACTGTATGATTTGTATTGCTTTACCATATTTATATTTTATCTGGTGCATTTTTGTTTGTAAACTTTTATGATATTTGTATTTATTTAACACTCATTTTTAAATTTTATATTATTACCATGACCAAATTACACTTTTTATTTTTATTGCAACATTTTTATATGAAGTAATACTTAAGACTTTGTGTACACTTTAGTAAATCATATTTACCTACTACAATCAAACAAAAATTAAACAGTGTACCTTTTAATATTAAATTTAACTATTTTGGTGTATCTAAAGAGCTGTTTTGACAAGCTTCATATAATTAATGTACTAAGCAAGTAATATAATATTACAATGATGGATAATTAAATAATTGATACTTCTGTTAAATTATTTTTTTACATACTTTTTGAGTTGAATTGATTTTAATTATTTTTTTTTTTTATTATTTCTATGTATATAGTGCATTATCTGAAGTGTTTCAAGTGTTCCGTAATTTCAACCATCTAGAAAGTGGTTTATTTGTGAAATTTAAAACTACATTAATTGAAATTAAAAATAAAATTTCTATTACAGCTGATGTTTGGTATAAAGCAATAGGTTTGATTGAATGATTATAGAAATGTGAATCTACTTTAATAGCTCAAAGTTATTTATTTTAAGAATATTCAAAAAACTACTTTACTATCCAATTATTTTCAAGATCATGTAGTAAATATGATATATTACCAGATAGTTCTGTCAACTCTTGAAGAGCTTAAACTTAATGCACATGATTTCTCAAGTGTCAAGGAAGCAGCAGACAATTTTGTTGCATGGACAAATAATAAATTAGTAGTTGATGAAAGTGATAAAGTAAATTAAAATATCTAAATACTTAAGTTTTAGTTCATATCCATGTAATAATTCAATTAAAATAATCACAATAAAATAAAAGTTAAATTAAAACAATTTCAGATATATAAAAATGTATTTGTATGGTAAAATACATTATGAAAACATAACAATATTTCGTTTCAAGTAAAATTGTTATACTGGATATCTAATGTGACCAACTTTCTTTTTCAGTTTGGGGAGGTCTTAAAAATATTTCTTTGTAACCAAAATATTTCATATTCACCCGTAGGTAAATTGAGTCCCAAACGAATTTATTTTTTTTCGAAATAAATAAATTGAATCCCAATAATAATATTGAAATTGGTAAACGAGTCTCACGTATAAAATTTAAAGAGGTAAACTGAGTCCCTTGTATAACAGTTGAAGCGGCAAATTGAGTCCCGTCTAAAATATTTAATGTATTAAATTTATTTAAATGTATTTAAATTATAAATATATGTTGATATAGTTATAAATTCACCAAGTACGTTAGGTAAGTGTATTTTATTGTTACATCATTAAATATTATTATATTTCGCTCCATATTATTAAGCAACATTTATATAAATACCTAACTATCTACAACAACGCTGGATGTGATATGATCATTGATAAATGTAAGTTTAATTTACATAATATACAATTGTGTTAATATAATTAAAAGTGTGTTAAATAAAATAAAACAGCATTTCACTATATTTCAAATTACCGCTTTAATTTTAAGCAAGGGACTCAATTTACCAAACCTTTTTTTTTTATAAGAATATTATGATGAGCATAGTAATTTGTAGATAATATTCGATACTGATGTATGTAAATATTATAATAATAATAATAAAAATTATAATAATAATAAAATAATAATTATAATAATAATAATAAAAATATAATAATAATACAATAATAATCTAATGATAATAAATATTGTTAACAATAGCAAGAATGATGTATTTTGAAAGACAAATGACAAATATAATAGTTGTAAATAAAAATATACCACTGTCTTCCACTGTAAAATATTAGAAAATAAAATATAAAAATTAACATAAATAGCATCAGTTTTCTATTGACATACATTTACACATTTTTTTCATTAAATAATATAATAAGTAATGCAGCTTATAAGAATTTTCAAATGTCTCTATTAGCAAAACAACGTTTGATGAGTCAGCTATAATATACATAAGTTTTTATGATATAAATTAAAACAAATTATTATTAAAGTATAATAATTTAATCTTTATTCAATACATAGTTATAGGGCAAATAATTTGTGAGAATACCCTTCTCAAAAATTAAATTAAATGGGCTCAAAAAAGGTACAAAATTGTATAAAATAATTAAAAGTATAACAAAACTGCAAATTCTCGTATTATAATTGTATAGGTAGTTGGCTTAGCAATACGTATTTCATTCTACTTCATCCTTGACTGGCTCCATTTCAGGGATATCTGTAGAATTCAAAAACAATATTCTTAATAATATAATTGTACACTTTACATTTATAACAGTTTATTTACAAAGTTAAGTAATAACTATTTAAACATTTTAGTAAATCAATTAGTATCAAGTATTTACAATAACATTGTAACTGAGTTAACATTGAAGTATCCTTCTAAAAATGTTTATAGATTATAAATTAGTACGAATGACTACTTTTAATTAGTAAGTATTTAGTTTTGATATTAAAAAACAGTCATAATTTAAAACTTGATTAATTTGAAATTATTACAAGAGCTAAAAATCTGTACCTAAATATCCAAGTACCAAAGTATTAAATTAAAATATCTAAATACTTAAGTTAGTTTTAGTTCATACCCATGTAATAATTCAATTAAAATAATCTGATAAAATAAAAGTTAAATTAAAACAATTTCAGGTATATAAATAAGTTTTATTTAATACATATAAAAATTTGTAATATTTATCAAGGAAATGCAATCTAGTTAATTAGCTATATAGGTATGTACATAAAATACAAATTTATTTAAATACTAAAAAATGTTGATAGTAACAAATTGGTAAAACTTTTTTCAAATAATGATTCATTTATTTATATATAGTTTGTTAATGAATAATTTGCATCTATATTCTATGAAAATAAAGAGCAATTTGATTTGAATTTACAAGATAAATGAAAAATCACAGTGTATGTAATATAATTATGTATGAGACCATGTGTGTGTATATATAATATATATTATATCAATGTTTAAGAATGAGTAGTTTACCTTTTTCTATAATATTTTCAGAAACTTCTTCAACAATTTCAATGGGTTCATAGTATTCATAATTGTAATCTAAGATGTTTAAAAACATTAATTTTTTCTTTAAAAAATATTAATAATTTAATAAATAATATAAATGACAAAAATAATATGAAAATTAAATTATTAATTCCAATTAATTAAATTTATTTTATTTTTTCTTCCATCAAAGTGGAAATTATTCAAAGGTTATAGTTTACCTCGATCTTCAGTAATTTCAGACAAGGTATCATCTGTCATAAATGGTTCATAATACTCATTCTGGTAATCTAAAATGTTTAAAAAATATTAGTTACCATTCCTTTATAAAACACCAAGAATATTAATACTTACCAGCAGCAGTATAAGTATCATAACTTGGATAATCATAATAAAGGTACGGGTAACCATAATAGGGGCATTGATAACCATATGGACTAAACTGATTGTAAGGATTATATCCTTGAAAAACAATTAAAAAAAAAAAAAAAAAACCTATTATATTTATAACATATTTTTAGACTGGATCTACACATATTAATAAGTATATATATTTACCAATATTAACATAATAAGGAGCTTGAACGACATAACTATTTTGTGGTAGAAAATCTATTAAAAAGTAATAAATTTAGTAGAATTATAATAATTTTATAAAATTTTGTATACATTGTACCTTCATCATCATACATATTGGATGGTGTTTTTCTCAAATTTTCATAAGTTTTTGTATCATATCTATTTCTTTTTTGAATTTTTTCTACTTCAACCTAATAGTAAATTAAATTTTTAAAATAATATAAAAATAAATTATATTTATTTATAAAAATAACATTATATTAATTAAGTACTTTTGTTCCATTAATCACATGAGGTGATGCACTTAAAATATCATCAATTATCTGCGGGTTATCAAATGAAATAAAACCAAAATCTTTTCGTACTCTTTTTGCATAATCATATGGTATCTTAACATATAAATTAGTAGTAAAACGTTTGAAATAATTCTTAATGTCCGAAAAATATAAATTAGGAGATAATCCACGAATATATAATTTATAATGTCTTGATAAAGCTCTTCTAGAAGTAACTGTCTTATTATTAATCACATGATTTTTGCATGCCAATACCTATTTAAAATTTAAAAATTATTTAAACTTGAATAAGAACTAAGCTTTATATACTATACAAAATACATACCTATTAAAGTAACAAAAACTATATTATAAGATATTTTATAATCCATTTTTCATGAAAAATATATATATAGAAATATTATATAACACAAATATGTAGGTACTTGATGATATAATTTTAAAAAAAATTTAAAAATAAATATTATTAATAATTTTACTTATCCTGCTCAAAATATTTCAATAAATATGTTAATATATTCATAACAGTGAAACTTTGTGGTCCTTAATATATTAGTAATGTTTATAATTTCTATATACATGGATTGGTCCATTCAATTTTTTTAAAAATATAAAGGTCTACATATCATTTGTCAATAGATATAATTAGTAAAAAAAGAAAATAATTATGCATCAAAAAAACTTAATATATACAAAATAATAGATTAATTACTAGTCAAAGTTAAGCTAAAATGTCTAATTACTATTTGTTATATGACTTTATGGACCTAATAGAAGATTTCAAACTGCTTATGATTAAATTATAATAATTAAGCTATAAAAGAATGAAAAATAAATGATTTATTAATTAAATTAAAAAGTATTTTTATAAGGTATTCATATCAAATACAAACCTTAGATACAGCTTTCGAATCTTTGAACAAAATGAAAGCAAATGCTTGACGATTGAAGGCAATAGGGATTTTTAATGTAATTTTACTAATTTCCCCAAATTGCTTAAAATGTTCAACTAAATCTTCTAAAACAGAAAAACACAATTTAATCAAATAACCAATTTACTTCTGGTATTCTAAACATATAAACACTTACTTTCAGTTGTATTTTTGTCAATATATCCAACATATATCTTTCTGCAAAATAAAAGCAATTTTATAAATGAATAAGAATGAAATTATCCATTCATATTTCTAATATAATTTTAGTCAGGGCTAGGATTCTATAGAAACTGTTAACTATTATATTTTATTATTATTTTAATTCATAGTTAAATATAAATAAATAAGCTAAAAACATGAAAAAATAATTTAAATTATAACACTACAATCTATCTTAAGAAAAAATAAATGTCAGTTATTTGCAACATAATTGACGTATTGAGTTATTGTGTTTTTTTCTTCATTAGTACTTTAATAATATTAGTTGATAGGCACTGAAATACTGAATTCCTATGAGATGCAAAAAATACATTAAAAAAAAAAAAAAAAAAACGATTTCCTATTTTATGTTTCACAAATAAAACAATAAAAATTTTTATCAATAAATCGAAAATCATGCAAGTCGATGGCGGCAGCCTAATCTTTTAGTGTCGAATGTTTATGTAATACGTCTTCATGCAAACAATATGCTAGTAAAATAATGCTTTTGTTTTACCTTTCTTTCATAGTTCTCGGATTTTCGAAATTTGTGTTGTAGTCACAATTATCGGCGGTATCATATAAGTGTTGTTCCCAGCCATTTTGTTGCAGTGGGTCGTTGTGTTGCTGATATTCGGCCATCTTTATTATAAATTTATAAATACCTACTGCCAAACGATAAAAATATAGTATGCATTAATATAGAATAATAATCGCAGATAATTTAAGTATTTAAACATTGAAAATGTACAAATGAAAAGATCGGAAACGAGGAACGACGGTAACGATTAACGGACTAATGTGATAACATTTCGCGCAATAAAAAATAAACGACCATTGCAATGCTGCAGCGGATAGACAAGAGTTTCTTCCATAGAGTATGCATTACTCGATGATTTCCAGTGCTCGACTTGTGGGGGGACACAGGGGTACGGAGTACCCCAACTAATTTTCAGAAGTTTTAGTTTCCCCCTACTATTATTATGTAATAATTATAACGTTTATCAAGTTATTGGAACGCTTTTTTTTTTAAAGCGAACAAAGTCGTCTTCTTTAATTTTACCAAGTCAAGCACTAATGGTTTCTACCCACCGTTACCGCGTGGTTTAAATTGTATTCACATCCTCTTTGCACCTTCGACGTCAAAGAGTATCGTTTAAATTCACGTTCAAATACATTACGTTTTCTATTTTATCAAGCCGTTCGGCGATCGACCTGCAAGCCAAGTTTTATAATAAAAAAGAGCGCGCCGCGTCGGCAACGGAACAACGGTTGATAGTACAATGCTTATTGTACTCTGCAAAACTAAATGAGCTTAATTGGTATTCACGGCGGCCTGAGGGGAAATATTTATGAAGATATTTATATGACTTCTTATTTCCTATACTCACAACTGTCAAATAAGACAAGAACGAATATTTTCCATCCTAACCCTCAGTTCTAAGAAGTGAGAATTTTTCTGGGCGACAAAAAAAAAATGTCCACGCATATAATTAAAATCGACAAAATCAACATCAACAGACTATGAAAAACCTATAAGAAAAAAATAACAGTGTTAGAAAATTTTTCAAACCTTAGAAACTCTAATACCATTCAAACTCGTAATGGTATAAATAATACAATATAATACCGTATCGTATAGTTTTTATCGGTTTTCCATTGTAGATATTCTAATAATCAATATTATTAATTTTTACTTTTAATCGTCAAACATGATTTACAAAATTTATAACAAAATCAAGCATAATAAATGAATATGTACTAAATAAAATAATTAAAATTATCTTAATTTTTGCCAAAACATCGTTGTCACCCTACAATTAAATATATCTTTTAGGCAACAAAAAATATTTACTAAGCCACAATTATGTCGCCCAGTTTATTAGTTAAAATATGCACAGGTTCTAAGGGTACAAAAGTAGTCACTTTGACGAAAAATGGAATCAATCTAGGTAGAGATAAAACAAATTTATGAAACGACGAAATTTTGGGTACAGCTTTTTATTGGTGCTACCTTAGGAACAAAAAAAAAAGAAATTGAATTAATTCAAATTTCTTAATAAGTTTAACTCTAAACCGAATATTTATACTATATTTTTTTATTTTTTTTTATTTAGACTTCTGTGATAGATCCGCTACATGGAAACACCATGAGGTGATTCTTTTAGTGACGGGAAATGTCCAGTATCTATAATCAGCACTAATTTCATTAACATTTTTTTTTAAATTGAAAAATATCTACAGAATTCTTATACAATTACTCTATTATATGGTAGTCTTATTGAACAGTATGCGACAAATAAAAGGTGATGCTGAGTTTGAAACTCGATATCGGTTGAAGTTTTTTGTAATTCTTTCACCATTTTCTTAATTATCCAAAAAATAATTCTTACCTAAAATACTAACTAGACATAATTTCTTATCAGAAACCTCCCATAATTGTGATGATCGAAGTAATCCTTTTTGAGGAAATTCTTTAAAATAAATAAATACAATGTCAGAAATACATAATTTTTATAATGTTTATATATTTTTATATCTATATTTGTAAGTTTACCTATCTATTTATTTATATTCTATTTGAAATATCAATTATTGGAAAAAATTAGTAACATCATTATTATTGAAATTAATACTTTTTTTATTTGTGCTCTGAATTTTCTAATTAACACTTGAGACACAATTTTTGAGTCCTAACTTAGTAATTGAATACCTCTTAGAATCAATCTACATAACACAAAGAAAATATGTGTATGTACAATATGGTTGGTTTCGATGTTTTACATCCAATCTTTGGAATACAATTTTTCCCGTGAGAAAGTTTTAGGAGATATGCCACTTTTTTTACTTGTTATCCTTGAACTCCGATTTAATAATGAATTACTTTCTAGTTATATCTAGTTAGCTATATGGCCAATAGATTCTTTTATAATATATAATATAATGATTAATTTCAAATTTACTGATTTTATTAACCATAGTTACAAATTTTTCAATATAATTATTTATATTGAAGTAATAGAGATTAAAATAAATAATTTAACATTAAATTATAATAATTATAATATATATGTAGATAATTAAATAAATGTAAAAATTATACACAACCATTTTTAATTTCATGTTATATTAAATTAAAATTACAGTGTTGGGTAGTAACTCAATGGAAAGCAACGCGTTATTGTAACGCCGTTACTTTTATAGTAATGTGTTACGTAATTTCATTGCAATTTTTATTGTTTAATGAAAATGTTATGGAAATTATTTTATATACTTAATTTATCTTGTATAACGCTTTACAAATACATAGGTATCTACAATCCAAAAAATGTTTAGACAAAAATCTGTAGGTTCCATATTATATTTAAAAATATATAATTTAAAGATTATACTAATAAATGTATATACACGGACATTATTATTTATATAATATTTGGAGCAATATAAAATGATAAAAAATTAAATTCTAGATTATTTCATTCAGTTTATCAGCAAAAACGGATTTCACATTAGGTACTGCAGGCAGCTGCCTAAGGTAGCAACATTTGGGTTTATTATAATTTATAGTCATTATAAATAAAAACAACTGTACAGAAAACAGTTTTTAATAATACTATAATACGTTGGTATAGTCCACCTAGAGCCTGCGTAGCCTCGTTAAAAATACGTACGGTCGACTATGGGTTATATACTCATATCATACCAAACAACAATGATTATTAATATTATTTTTATGGACAAAACTAGTGTTTTTTTTTTTTATATAGTTTTGCTTGTAGAAATATGCGTCAATCAGTGGCGTATACATAACTTTTGTTTGGGGGGGGGGGGATAATTTGCAAACAAATCATTATTTTTTTTAACGCCTTCACTATGTACATTATTTTATAACATTTAAAAAAGGTCTAGGGGGAATCTGACCCCCCTCTCCTTGTATACGCCACTGATGGCAATATGTGAAATATGTGCTCAGTTATAAAAATTTGATGAAATTTACGAATTTAAGTAAACCTTAAGTTAGAATGTTAACGGGTTTATTTAAAAAATAATAATTGATGGATTGGAAACGTTACTTGATCAAATATAGAAAAAAAACCAGTATAAAAATCGTTAATGGTTGGTAATGATTTTCAAAATTTATATTGAAATTGAAAAAAGTTAAAATTTATATTTTACATCAAAATCAAAATCATTTTAATAATTAAAACGATTTTAAATCAAATTAATTTAAAATTCAACAACTAACAGGTCTGTTTATATTATCAATTCATAGACATTGGCATATTTGTTAATAATATTGATTATATATAATAATAAATAACTAGTACCTATTTTGTTTTCTTAGAATATTTACGATAAGAAATCAGCGTTCGATGAGTGATCGTTGTTTTTATACACACGATTTATTCTGTATAATCATAGATTAAATAGTATATTTAATCTATAGTATAATATACTATATAATCAGGATAAATTAATTTTTTTATCAATATGCCTTATTAATTTTTTACTGTACATTATTATTTTTACATTATAACAAGCAACATGCATACAATAATAAATATTGTATTTTATATCATTTTTAATAATTTACTAACACACAAGCAATATTTTAGATGGTTGATAATATTCATGTATTTTAGTATTGATTATACATAATCCATTACCATTTTGAAACTACTTCCTTAATATCTTAATTCAGCTCTCTAAATTACATCAAACGGTTAGCTTGTATTTGCTGTCTAATTTTTATTAGAAATAAAGAATATTTAGTATTTCTTATAATTTAATTTAGACCTTCAACTTTAATGTCCTTTGTTCGTGGAGAAAATTGTTACTAAAGTACAAAATCCGGTTGAATCAGCTTATGCCTATCTTAAATATTTAAATTTAAGATACTGAACAAAATATTTACATAAAAAGAAAAAGTTACCATAGATTTCCATAACTACAGATATTTTGTTGTTAAGTATCCATACGCGTTGTACACGTTTAACCCAAGGACGAATTAATAAATTAGTTTGACTAGATACGATAACGCCTAACGGTGTGCTGTCATTTTGTTATTTCAAACGATCCTTTCCCATTACCTACTCGTATTTTAATTAATATGTACCAAAAAAGAAAGTTTTATATATTCTATATGTCTGGAATTATCCCACTTATTCGTATATATATTGATGGTATGATGAGTTTGGTTATATTATACTAATATAGTAATGATTAAATTACGAAAATATTGATGTTAAGAAATTCTATGAAATAAAATTAATCAAACACTTTAGTAGTGATAAATTTATAAATTTTAATTTACTTTAATGATAATAATGTATATCTAATATTATTTTCTTATATTTTTGATGTATTATCTATTCATTCTGGATTTATTTTTTTTTAGTTATATTTCCCTGAAACCGAGCATGATAATTATTAGGTTAAATCAATTAAGTTACATTTTAAAATGAGCAGTAAAAATTACATTTTAATTTTCTTGTTAAGTAATTTATTCATTAAAGAAACATTTGCATCTAAATAAACATTTGTTTTTACTTCTTAAAAAAATAAAGAATATTTCCATCTATAATTCACTATGATAATTTCAAAATTTACAATTATACTGTAGATATTTTAATGCTTATACAATGTGCATATTCACTTTTTTTTACTTAATAATCTATTATATATATTATAGAAACGTTTTAGTAGATTTTCTACAGTTCGTTTCTAAAAATGTGAGCTCTTTTTTATTATAAAGTAGAAAAATAATGTTCATAATTTATTGAAAACATAAATTTTGTCAATTTATTGCTGAATATTGAAATAAATCCTCAATAGAATTTTAGTTGTCTGGTAGAAAATATATTATAGAAAGTAATTAATACATAAAAATTTAACCAAAAAAAATAGGTAGTTATAATATACATATAGGTTTATATTTTATTATGTATTTTGGTCTTTAACTATTATAAAGAATATACGACTTAAACCAGACGTTATACAGTGTTCATTCGAAATGATTAAAATTTATGCGGCGTATACCGTCGTATACCCTATGCTTTAGCTCTGACTATTTCTCTCTTTGACTTTAAGTTCTAGATATTCTATTATACTTACTTGACGTATATAGGTTTTACACAAAATATCATCGTTATTCGAAAGACTGACTCGCATTTTTTTATAGTTATTATTGGTTTAGACGTTTATAGTTCTAAAAATCTCTACAAAATCAATCTACCAACTAAGAATTGAAAATAAAAAAATTAAATAAATAGCCAATTATGTGTATATGTCTATATATATATATATACACACACACCGTATAATACGATTATAACGATCTTTAAAGAACCTAAATAATTAAATCGTTTTATCCGAATGACAAATAAAAAACTTTAAAAAAAAATTGATTTATTAAACAAATATTTTGTATATATTAATTAATAATTATACAAACCAGATTATATATTTATGAATGAAAAAAATATGTATTATGCATATATTATTTTGTTAACCTAAATATATAAATTTACAATTTTTATAAAAAAAATTAATTATAATACCTTATCTATAACTGGAACAACACGAATTTTAGCAAATTGTTAAATGCCATAGATACTTGTAGCATATCGGCATCACTATTTAACGAAACAAAAGTACATATTTGATCAGTTGAAAGAACATATAATGTTACTATTATATTTAAATACGTATATTACAGATTAGATTACGAAGTATCATACAGGATGAAATCTAATTTCTTGCTATAGACGAATAAAAAAATGTATTTTCATTTCAAAATAACATCCTTATATTCGAATTAATGTTGTAACCAATATCGTAATAATCGACCAAAATTACTGCTCATGAAATATAAAATCGATCAAATACATGGCTAGAAATCGTAATCATAATCCAGAATATCATACTAAGTAGAATTAGGAACTTATAGGAGCCAAAAAAGCAAAATATGCACGAAAAAATTATAAAATATGCATGAAAAAATGTGAAATATGTAAAAAAAATATTTATTTAATTATTAAAAGTTAATTAGTAAATTCTAAAAACCTATTTTAAAATAATTTTACTATTGAAAACTAAAATATGGTACATAACCGGTTGGCATTTGAGATTTTATTGAACTGAAAAAATAGTTAAGCAAATATATTTTTATTATATGTGATATATAAAATAAATATATGTTGTGTAATACTTGTTAAGTTGTTACATTGATAATAATAATAGTTCGTTAAATTCATAGTAGACAATAAAAAATAACAATAAATAACCACGAAAAATAATATTGAGTTTTATATGATACACATTTTTCTCGTTATTAGCATTGTGTTATATAACATTATTTAAAATAAATTGGTTAAGAAAGAGAAAAGTTTTAGAAAATATTAAATATAAAAAAAATCAATGAAAATTGACGAAATATGCACTTTTTCTATAAAATTAACGAAGTATGCAAAATTTGCATTTTTAAACTCTACATTGTATAACTTGGATTTCTAGGTTATTCTGATATAAATCGAGAGCATACAGAACAGTAAGCAACTCCTATAACTTCCGAACCCTAGTAATAAGTGAATTCTACTATATATATTGCCATAAACCAGATGGTTTTCATAATTTTAAAATCGAAATGTACAAAATATGAAATAAAATAATATTTTAACTTTAACCTATACATTGCTTTATTACCTATACATACATATCAGCCATATTGTATACAAATTATGAGCGCATAAATGCAGATGCAGCACAGGGAAAGTTCTATATTCTATATTACAATTATTTTTGGCAGTATGTTATATTCCAGTGCGTTTTCGGCTATAACACAAGAGTTTAGTGCAGTATTTAATTATTTCATATAAAATAGGATTTGATATATTTTCAGAAAATTATGAAAAAAATTAGATCCATACAATTTGGAAAATCTTAGAAAAAAACAACTACTTTAAACGAGACAGAAAATTATAGATGACATATGAGCAGCCGAAATTAAAACATTAGATTATATTATAGAGTGGCTTATGGAGACAATGATAAATTAATTAATTTTCTGTATCAGTAAATTTTGCCTTACAAGGAGTTATAAGAACATAGGTACTAAGGATTCTTACATAACTACAGGTGGAAACGTTAAATTACATGTAGCGATAGATAATTAATATAACTTCCCGAGACGAGTAGTAGAACATTTTTTATCAGTACCGATACGTTATATGATTCTAAATAAGGAGCTATTTGCAAACTAGTCATCAAACCCATTAGTAGTTAAAACATTTTGTTGTTAAATAGTTTTTGGTTTTGTCTTTCTTTTATTTTGTATAATCCTGACTACGCCACTGTTTCCTCCAATATAATTCAATCTGATTTCCGTAAATTTCTATTAAAGGATTTGTTACATTGAATACCAAAAGGTGTAATGTACTGCTGAAATATTTTAAAACAAGCGAATGTTTATATTTATTTCAAATCAATTAAAATAGTTATAATGTAGTAAAGTTAAAATGTATCGAGAACAGCAAAAATAGACAAGATAAGTATAACAGTTATTATTATTAAATTATAAAGATGCATGCACGTCATATAATAGATAAATATGCTTGATGAAAAATAACTTTTATCTATTGATGTTTAATTAACTTTGAGACAAATGTATTTTAAAAAGCGTTTAAGGTTAGTTTTCCAACAGTTATTGAATACTCAGTGAAATACTTTTTAACGTATTGTTTTTTATTCCTTCTGAAATGTACTATATAACATACAATGTGGACGACTTATGAATGTCCTAGAACGAGAGAAAAATTATTAAAGTACGGTATACATTGTATGATTGTGGTGTGCATTGACCAACAAAGTAATGATTATAATGAATAATAATAGGTTATACAAATCATAAATAAATTACTTTCACGGGAATTGCTGAACAATTCATAATCATAGCAGAGATGGATTATTACAAGGTTAGTTTATAATTTTGATATGTTATAACAATTGAAAAAGATATTGTTAAAAAACTAAAAATTTTATGTGAAAATATAATGTTAATTTCAAAATAATTAGATATAAGTTGTGTTTAAAATTTTGAACAAATATTATTATGCATTTTATTATAATTAGTTTCTTCATAAATTTAATTAATTAAATTTAATTATTTGTTAGATATAAAAAAATTATACGAAATGTAATAAAAAATATCAATTTTTTTTTTGTTTGTAACTAATTAATAGTAATTATATTGAAAACTTATAGTTAATTAATTTTTTAATCGTTTACAGTTTAACTATAACATATTATAAACGACTGAACAATGACTGAGAGAATGTTTAGAAACATTTTGCAGACAACTTTTTAATAGATCTAGGGTTAACGAAAAATTATTTTTCGATTATTACAGAGCGTAAATCATTAACTATTATTTGTTTATATCAAAAGGCAAGTTATAAATCATAACGCGCATCAACGGAACATATACAACAAGGCATACGCATAGTTAAAAAATTTTAATCGTATACAGAAAAAACGTACATGCTCATACATTGACAGGGAAACTTGTCAAGACAAAATCACAGGATCCAAAAGAATATTCTGTTTTAAAAAAGTAAACGTTCAGAATATAATATTGAGAATATGCAAAAAATAATATTTCCTTCGAAGATAAGTTCCACCAAAACGCATTCAGCAGCTGATATTCTATAACCAAAGGGTTGGATGTAAAATGTATACACTTTCGGATTACAAAAAAAAAAAAAACAATATTGTTGAAATAATATACTCGATGTGAGATCCTAGAGTACAGATAAATATGATATTGTGTACAAAAATCAGCGATCGTAAACCGAAGGGTCAGAAATCATTTGTTTGCATCATGCACTGACGTGCGATGATATTCGAACGTGAACGCAATCCCACTGCGTGAGTTTCCGAATAACCGAACGGATTCGAATCCGAAAGGTTTAGGTCGGAAATCGATCATTCGCTCGTCGTTACGAGGATACGGACAACACGCGTGTAACATAAGTCGTGCGCCTCTCGTGCAAGGGCTGCGAAATCCGACTTGGATTGTACTATCGATCCGTGCCGGGTTCAAAGCTACGGCGGCAAGACGATTCGCGATCGTGTACGCCGTATTCACGAGGCGACAACAATGATTATTTCGAAGACAGCGCTTCCACGTTTCCCATCGTGTTCGTACGTTCGTCTCGTGCACGACCCGCCGCTGCGGAAAAGGTTCGGGGCGCGCGCGCGCAATGACGACCGTGCCGGCAGGGCATCGCGATGGGTAAGCGCGCTGCAACAAACGTTGTCACCCGCCGGCGCTGTTCCCGGGGCACGATGGGCGCGCGGGCGCGGAGCGTTGGGAAGAACGCGGACGGGAGAAATGCGTCGTAACGCGGCCACGCAGGAGGATCGGAATAAAGAAACGCGGGAAAAGCCACGGACCACGAGACGACGTCACGGGGGAGAGGGTGGGGTGGTGATCGTCGAGTGGCACCGGGGGTAAGCCCGTTTATTAGGCCACAGTGTCACGGAACCAGTTCCGAATCGAACGTCCGGCATGCTCACGTATTTGACCTAGATATTCGTGTCAAGAGAGTTATCGTGCGCGCACGTGCGTGCGGTAGGAATCTTCGGGGTACCGGGCACACACGCGCTCGTCCGAACGATTAGTCGCCAACCGTACGAGCTGTTGTCAACCGCGGCAAAACCAAGACCGAATCCGGTGCTAATGCGGCACATACGATCTTCCAGCTATTTTCGTACGTTTTAAAACGCGTGAAAATTCCGTATTATATTTTTTTATTTTTTTTTAACTATTCGATAATTCTATTACGTATTTACGCTTTACCGAGGCCGTTGGTCGACTGATCGTTTGAGGGAAAACAAAAACAAAAAAAAAAAAATAACAAAAACGATACAGACATTTTCTTTCGTTTCCACTTCGTGGACATACGTTTCGAATCAAACCGTTTTGATACCGCTTCCGTGAAATATTTTTAACGAAAACAATACAAATTAATTTTCCGTCGACGCTTCATTTGCATGCTCATAACTTCGTTACATTCATGTGATCTGGCGACACTTGAACTCGATTCACTGAGACGCCATCGCTTTGCACTTGCATCAAAATGATACGACTGTGAGTATATAATACACCATCAAGTAATCAGTGGCATATTTTTATGCAGGCACGTGTCTACAGCCGAAAATTTGAAGAATTTATTCTGTTATTATAACAACAAAAATAAAAATAATATCAATAATTTATTAATAACTATAGTTAATAAAAATGGTTTGGATCTTAAGAAATTACATTTTAGTATTTAAATATAATGTGTTATGTATATTTATCTAATTAATATTTATTTTATAGTGGGTAATTCAAATATAATTAAATCATTGCGGTATATTATTTTAGTTATTCAGAGCGGCAATTTTCTGCAGGCCTACACGCAGTAAACATATAAATACGTGCCTGTATTTAATAGGTAGTTATTTTCGCATAACTGGGTAAAATACAACTAATAAAATATGTACGGCTTACGGATACGGTTTTATTTTTTAATTTTTGGGTGGCTTGAGTATTGAAAACCGATTTTATTTTTAATTGCTATCAATAAGAAACTATCCGTTCGAAAATTAAAATTAAAGTCCGTGTATTTTGATAACCATCTTAATGCTATTGTAAAATATAAATGCGTCATAATTTTATAAAATCATCATGCAATATATTGTAAGTACCTACTAACTTCATAAAGCTTAAAGATAAATCAATGGTTTTATTTTAAAGAACAGTTATGAACAATCTTATATAAATTATTATACACAAAATGGACTTCTGTAATTGTAATTTGAGTAAGCTAATGTTAATGTAGACAGCATACTCGTAGTTAAACAAGTTTGAGTTTGATAATGAAAATATGAAAGCTTGCTTAAAGTTGAACTCAAAGAAAACATTATGTTAATATTATAAATAACGATATTTCTGAATTTTATATTATTTACGCAAATTCCCTATTTTTCTATAACAATTCAAATTATAATATTTATAGGAAGTACATTACAAAGAATATGCAATTTATTTTACTCTACACTAGAGACTTAAATGTACTTTTATAAAGTATATAAAATCCATCCTACTTCATCAACGCAATCTAAACTTAAACTTTTTATTTTAAATTTCATCATTTTAATGCGAGTTTAAAATTTAAATGTAGATTTAATTTTGTTATTCTCAATAACATTACATTAATATTCTTAACTAGGAAAGGAAAATATTTTTATAATGACTTTATTGAATACATGGGATAGACGTATTTTACCAAAATATTTTTGGTAGGTATGTATTTTATTGCCAAATTATTGGATGTTAAATGTACATAGACCATATTTGGCTTAATCCTCTGAATTGTATCTATAATATTATTATATTATCAAATAACTTTTTATATTTTGTTATATAAAAATTTAATCACGAACAAGCAAATGATTATTATTTTATTTCTATGTGTTTTTAGCTATAATGTTAAATTATAATTTTTAAAATTAATGAATCTAAAATATCTAATTAATAATTAATTTACTAGTTAACTTTTAAAAATATTATTCATGATACACGAATTATGAAGTAAAATATTTATTTACTATAATCGCTCACCAAATATTCAAAACCATTTCTACCAATATAAAATGGGATTTAAAAATACACGTATTATTCTAATTTCTTTTCACATTATCTATTTCTTGGCTTTTTATCATTATTATTGTTATATTACGTAAATGGACTGAACAAAGTAGTATATTTTCAGAAACGATATAAAACTGAAAAGATTGTCTTACTTTAAATAATTTTGTTGTCATTGTATTTCTTGTCAAATTATTTAAAAGTATTTTTACCATTTTTTTAAAATCAATTAGGTGAAATGCTAGTATTATAATATACATACGTGGTTTTTATTTATGCACCTATTGTTAATTTCCTTTTCATTGAAATTGGACGCATTTTTGACATTCGTAGATATAACTGAAATAATACTCTATTTGGAAGGAGATCAAGAATAAGAAGCCACAATGCCCTTTCCTTTTCTATAATATATGAGTGTACGAGTATATACTAACAGTTTTACTAACCATTGATATATATATATATATATATATATGATATATAAATGCTTATGAATATAATAAAAAAATTTTTTTTCTAATTCTAACATTAAACTTAAACCGATTTAAAATAAGAATATAACCATTTTTTTTATATAAATAACGTGTTTTGTAGGTAAAATAATAAATAAATAATTGTTTTTGATGTTTTATTAAATGAAATATATGTTATATTCAAAAAATGTTTTTGATAGAAATGTATGCTATGTATAAATAAATACATAGTACCTATATAATGCATTTGTACATAGGTAAATAAATTGATATAAATAAAGTTTTGTACATGAGTGTATTTACCGCCTTATTTAGTTAGATAATTAAGTTATAGTAAATAGAAAAAATAATGAGGTCTTATTGTCGTAGTTGATTAATTGCTTCTGAATATTAATATACATTTATAACTATTGTTTGTATTTGATTGTATTTATAACTATTATAACTATTTATTTTTAAAAATTTAAAACGATTCTAAATGAATAATATTTTATGTAGAACAAATTTCCACTAATATTTATCATAAAAAAATGAATACTTAGAATAAATTGTTTATTTAGATCTAAATGATAAACAAAGTTGATTTAAATATTAAATTATTTTATGCACATGCGTCGACGTATATACGTTGTAAATACGTATAGCGAATTTTAATCACGATGTATAATTAGGTACCTACATATCACAGTAGTCCGTATGTATTAGTCATCATTCACTGTTCAAATTTCGTAACCTGAACGTTTTTTTTTTTTTAGTGAGGTCATTACCATTTGCAAAATATTATAAACAGACCACAAAGTACAGGAAACACCAACGAATAAACATGTACGTTTAATAATCGACAGATTTCTACTCGGTTATAAATTTAAAAATTGTTTTGTCGCTTATACGAGTAAATGGTGTTATAATATTACTATTAGCTAGACGTAAATAAATGTTATTTGCTAACATTAATCCATATTAACAAATTAACAATTTTTGGCATGAAAAAAATGTTTTAAGTAGATAATGAATAAAAAAATTATAGATTTAATATATACTTGGTTTCTAGATACATGTTTAAATAAAACTTAATTGGATTAGGATTCATAACATACATTGAAAGCATATAACTACAAGTAAAAATTATAAAAAAATTTAAGTAGCAAAGCCAATAGGTTTTTCTTAAATTGCTATTTAAATAATATTCGTTTTCACACATTTTTATCATACCAACTTTAATGACAACAAAATGTAACTTTTTGTAGAATATTGAAAAAAGTTAAAAAGATTTTTTTTTAATTTTAATCAAGACTTTATACAATCTATACTAAAAAAAAAGTACAATAAGCATAATGTATGTTTTTTTAATTAAGTGCAATAGCTTGAATATCTTAAGGGAAGAAACCGTCCAGTAAAAGTACTTCGACATGAATTTACAATTATTTAGGTATTTAAGTATTTATATTATATTTATTTTATAAGGTCACGTGGCCATTGTCGTTTGAGTCTTTTGGGGGGATTTCCTGGGATCGAGATAGATAGTAGCCTTTTAATATGAGGATTAGGGTGATTTTGAAGGCGATTCCTAAATTTTGAGTAATATAGCTTGGCTGTATCAGTGACTTTAGAAATTTGAAAATCTGTATGAAGTGTGTGGTTTGAAATATACGGAAGATCATTGGTTATGAGTCGGTGCATTTTTGATTGGAACACTTTTATTTCTTGTGTATTTGACATTTTTACTGTATCCCAGAGTTAGATACCGTAGAGCCTAATAGGCTAAGAAAAAGATTATAGATGTGAATTTTGGTTTTGAGGAATAAATTTGTGAATTTACCAAGAATAGGTCTGAGTAAAATCGTTGGTTTAATTTTAATTTTGTTGTGTGAAAATATTTAGCCCATGTTAGACGTTTGTCAAAGGTTAGACCTAGATATTTGGGTGTGTCGGAGAGCAAAAATGGTGCATACAGATTTGTTTTCATTAATTTTGTAGCGCCAGAGGGAGTACCAGTGTGATGGGTCATTCAGATGGCTTTAGAGAGTAAATGAAACTATGTCAGGATCAGTGGGTTGATCTGCAGAATGTAGATTAAAAAGAGTTGAAGATACGACTGCGCCTTGAGGAACGCAGGCCAAGTGTACTTTTATACATTATTTTACTTTACAGTAAGTTTCAAAACTAAATACCTGCACTTTTTAAACAATTATAAAAAACAAAAAAATTTAGTATATTTTTATGTTTATAGTAATTTCAAGATTATTAATGTACTTAGATGAGTATTATAAATAAACTGAATATACTTTAACCAATAACAAATAAAAAATATCCTTTAATAACATCTTCAAGCCATTGATATACATCCAATTGCTAATAATAATAAATGTACTTTTTCTATATTAAGAACTTGAATAAAAAAACTTTTTAAATGAAATATAATTTTTATTTTGAATATAATTTTCTTACTATTTGTTTTCCTTTCTATTTGTGTTGAATTGATGCCAAGCCGAAAAAAATTGTTGGATTCGGAACGAGCACGAATAAAACGGGTTTCAACATGTGTTTCCTGTGCACGACATATTGCAATAAAAGATTTCACTTGCTATTTTAGCCTAATAATATTGCATATAAATACAAATCTAGTCAAATTTTAAAATTAATAGTAACAAAGTAGAAATAAAAATAAAGAATTTGAAAAACTATAATTTAAAAATCATCAGTTGTAGTTTAAATTATATGCATAACAATTATATTTTAGTATATATGTTATTGTTAGTAACATTTATGATTCTCATATCTATTAACACTTTATTTTCAAACATCTATCTTTATTCAATCAATAGTTATTTAATGCAGTCATTAACTGATTCAAATATTGAAAATAACCATTAAAATAAAATATGATGATTATTTGATTAAATAAAAAAATATGAGTTGTTTACTTATAATTGTATATTAAAATGTGATTGTACTTTGGAACTTTGACGGTAAAATTAATTA